ATGTCTAGAAACCAAGAGTTTTACAGAACAGAACATGATTCTTATGCCATACCTTTATTTTATGCGAACCAGTATCACAAAAACACTAAGATGGTCTAATAATGGGTTCTGAATGTCCTATGTCTATGCTACTTCTCTTTTCTCTTTCTTTTCTTTTCCTTTCCTTTCTTTTCTTCCCTCCCTCCTTCCCTTTCTTTCTTTCTTTTTTTCCTTTGGGATAGTCAAGCAGATCCAGACTCTAACTAATGTCTGGGAGGTAGGCACAGAGGCTTTGCCAGGCTTCCCACTCCAGACTCATGCTTCCGGGATATCTGGTTCTTTTTATAATCCCTCTTGGGGAGTAACAATAGGTAGTGTAACATTCAGTCATAGCTCTAATACATCATTCAGGTTGCATCATGGACAGGCTCTCTCTATTCTTTCATAGCAACATTAAACAGGTATACTTTGGGAACACATTTTTTTTTTTTTTTACAGAATCTTCGCAAGGATGCGTGTTCCATTTTTGCATTTTTGCAATAATATTAAATATATCTTGGCCCCCAAAAAATCTTACTGGCATTTTAAAAAAGATTTTATTTATTTACTTGAGAGAGGGAGGGAGCACGAGTGGGGCAGAGGGATAGAGGAAGAGGGACAAGCAGATTCCCGCTGAGCAGGGAGCCTGACACTGGGCTCAATCCCAGGACCCTGAGCCAAAGGCAGATGCCTAACTGACTGAGCCACCCAGGTGCCCCCTTACTGGCATTTTTATTGGTATTGTGAACTTTATAGATTAATTTAGGGAGAATTGACATATTTTTGATGTTAGGTTTTGCTACCCACTGGAATATTAGTTCCTAGATGGCAAGGATTTTCTCTGTTTTGTTCAGTTGTGTATCTCCAAAGCCTAGAAAAATGCCTGGCATATAGTAAGTGCTGTTTTTACTGAATGAATGAATGAATGAATGAATGGGATGCCTTTACACTTACACTTGTTTTGATTTTATGTTCCTCAGAAGTGTTTTAAACTTTCTTTGTGCAAATCTTGTACATTTTTCTTTCTTTTAAAAATTTATTTATTATGGGGTGCCTGGGTGGCTCAGTTGTTAGCATCTGCCTTTGGCTCAGGTCATGATCCCAGGGTCCTGGGATTGAGCCCCACATTGGGTTCCCTGCTCGGCAAGAAGCCTGCTTCTCCCTCTCCCACTCCCCCTGCTTGTGTTCCTGCTCTCACTCTCTTTCTCTCTGTCAAATAAATAAAAATAAGATCTTTAAAAATTATTTATTGATTTATTGATTGGTTGGTTTATTTATTTATTTAAATTCCAGTATGGTTAACTACAGTGTTACTTTAGTTTCAGATGCACGATATAGTGATTCAATAATTCTATACATTACTCAGTGATCATCACTTCATCTACTTCACTATCCCTCCACCCACTTCCCTCTGACAACCATCAGTTTATTCTCTATATTAGAGTCTGTTCTTTTGTTTGACTCCTTTTTTCTCTGTTCATTTGTTTTGCTTCTTAAATTCTACATATGAATGAAATCATATGGTATTTGTCTTTTTCTGACTTATTTCACTTAGCATTATACCTTCTAGATCCATCCATGTTGTTGCACCTAGTATTGCCATTTAAAAAAGTACCACAGAAGGTGTGCCTGGGTGGCTCAGTTGGTTAAGCTTCTGACTCTTCCTTTCAGCTCAGGCGATGATCTTCCTGGTCAGGATATTGAGCCCCACCTTGGGCTCCCCACTCATCAGGGAGTCTGCTTCCCCTCTACCTCTCCCCGTGCTTGTGCACTCTCTCTCTCTCTCAATCAAATAAATAAATAAATAAATAAATAAATAAATAAATAAATATTTTTTAAAAATAAAAAGTACCACAGGTGATTATAATGTGCAGTGCTGGGCAATGTAGAGGAATTCTAATCAGCCCTACCCCAGTTGAATTGTTGCCTCTTCCATAAAGTCTTTCCTGCCCATCTCCCAATTTCCTTCCTATAGAATTAATCCTTCCTTCCTCTGGGCAACATATGTATCTCATTCATATTTTTATTGCATTTCTCAGCAATATTGTAGTTTGTTTATAGGCCTGTCTTCCTCCTAGATGGTGAGAAATTTGAAAGGACTATATGCAATAGCCCATCAACAGCCCAGAGGGCAATGCCTGATGTGATGAGTGCTCAATAAATGTTGGCTAAATTAAATAACTTCTTACAGTGCACAGGTGGTCATGGAAAGATAGATACAGATAGGTGTGCATAAACATGCCAACCCATGTTAATAATAAAATCTCTACTTATTTTTAGGTTTCCATTCAATGAATGTACTCTAAGAGATCTCTTTCTGTTATAAATCATAACATAATGATGCTGTAAGTAGAGTCATCAAAAGCTACAGAGTTTCCTGGAATAGCTGCTGTACTAGTGTGCTAAATGCTGTTCGCCTTGATGTATGATGTAGTCATAGAAAACACCTGGGGCTTAGGGTCTAGACTGGATTTGGAATCTTGTTCCACCATTTATTAGCTGTGTAACCTTGGACAGTTACTTGACCTCATCAGTAAAAAGAGTATCTAAATGTCCTTTTTTAAAATTTAAATTTTACTATTATTTTTTTTAGAGAGAGAAAGATTTCAAGCAAACTGGGGAAGGGGCAGAGAGGAAGAGAGAGAATCTTAAGCAGGCTCCACAACCAATGCAGAACCTGAGGTAGGGCTCGATCTCACAACCCTAAGATCATGACCCCCAAATCTTGACCTGAGCAGAAAGCAATGCTTAACCAACTTAATCAGATGCTTAACTGACTGAGCCACCCAGAAGCCCCTCTAAATATCCTTTCACTCACTAGTCAAATATTTATTACTTGCTACATGTCAGTCATTGTGCAATACCAGTGACTTTCAATTAACCTTGAGTGCACATTAGAATCACCTGGCAAAAAAAAATTATTTTTAAATATTTTATGTTTAAGTAATCTCCATACCCAATGTGGGGCTCGAACTTACAACCCTGAGATCAAGAGTTGCATGCTTTACTGACTGAGGTAGTCAGGTGCCCCTCACCTGGAAAAATTTTATTTTATTTCTTTTAAAGATTTTATTTATTTATTTATTTGACAGAGAGAGAGAGCACAAGTAGGCAGAGGCAGAGGGAGAAGCAGGCTCTCCGCCAAGCAGAGAGCTAAATGTGGGGCTCCATCCCAGGACCCCGGGATTGTGACCTGAGCTGAAGGCAAATGCTTCACCAACTGAGCCACATAGACCTGGAAAAATTTTAAAGCTACTAGTTCCCTAAAATAAGACAGTGTATATAAGATTAGATGATTGTGTAATGAAATAACCTACTAATGTATTTTATATATTTAACACCTATAGCAATTAATTTAATTAATTACATATAGTAATATACGTATGTGTAATATATGTATTAATTACAATAGTAATATAATTAATTACATATAATAATATGTAATATAATTAATTACATGTAATAATATGTAGTATAATTAATTACATATAGTAATATATACAGGATTAGATGATTGTGTAATGAAATAATCTACTAACATATTTATATATTACATATATAATATATAAATATATATATAAATATAATACATATTTTTCCTATGCTGATATGAGAGTTAAATGAGATCAATTATGTGAAAACGCTTAGCAAAGGGTACAGCCTAGGACAGGTGCTCAACAAATGTTAATTGAATTTGGCAAATTACTAATCTAGATTAGTAGGTCTCAATCTTCAGTATGCTATGGAATTGTCTGGAGGGCCTAAAACCTTGGTTTACTGGGTTTCACCTCCCAAATTTCTGATTCATTATGTCTAAGGTGGGTCTGATATTTGTGTTTCTAATAGGTTCCCAGGTGATACTGATACTGTTGATCCTAGGATCACACTTGGAGAACCACTGACCTCGACTGTAAACTCTTGAGGACAGGAATAATCGGCTTGCTGACTAAAGCATGCTCAATGCCTAATATAGCTTCCAGCACAGACTAGAAGTGCAATCTTTTTCAATGAATGAACCACTCCATGCCTCAGAATAACTGTTATTTACTGTCAATCACAGGAGAGCAAGAACTTTTGTTCACTACTGTATTCCCAGAACCCAAAACAAGGCTTGGTACACAGCAGTGCTAAAAAAAGAAAAAAAGAAAAAAAAAAAAGTTAAAATTAAAACTATTATTGAAAGGATTAAGTGAGGTCATGTATGTTTTTTAAAAATCCTACAACTATTAGCTACAATATTGTTAGTCATTAAATGGGATAATAATTACTCCAGGAATTGTATTCTTCCAACAGCCTGGGGGCATTCTGAGTGCAGAGATCATCACGCTCTGGCAGAGCTCTGCATCTAAACGAAGCCACTGTATAAAAATGGTTAATAACATCTGACATCTACTGAGTGATTGTTACGGTGCCAGGCAGTCTATGTGACTTGTCTAATTCCATCCTCTCAACAAGCTATTAGAAGGGTATTTAGTATTCTCTCCCATTTTACAGATGAAAGAAACTAAGGCAGAGATAGGTTCCCAAGCTGGTGAGCTGCAGAGCCAGAACTTGAACACATGAAGTCTGAAAGCAAAGTTAGTACCCTTTACTATAATAAGTTCCGTAATCTCATAACCAGCAAAAGTCATAGGTGAAAGCAACTTCGTCGACGGAAATCAATGGGGTCAGGGGTCAGCAGGAAGTGTCTACAGGACTCTAGCTCAGAGGTCACTAATGTGTCATAAGAGGATTGTGGGGGCGTTACTAAAGATAGTTTGACCTAGTCTTCTCGATCGCATCTCAGTTAGTGGGACCGTAAAGTGACCAGAACATCTGGGGGAAAATAAAAGGCGGAAATGCATAAGAATCTGCGGAGCCTCCCAGGGCTCAGCCATAATGGGAGGGAGCAGTGGCGCATGCGCGGCATCCGGGTTCTTGAAGTCACGTCTACGGCAGACGTGGCAGAAGGAGTGTCCCGCCCTGGAGCGTGGGGGAGGAACTTCCGGGGACGACGCTCCGGCCCCCCCCTCGGAACCGGAAGTTGGGCCTGGGAGCCTTGACGTTAGGAACGAAGTCGAACCTGGATCTGGAGCCGGGTGAGGAGTGGCATCGGGAGGTTGGTGGGTAGGAAAGCAGGGGAGAGGCCGAGGTATCACTGGCCTGATCGGGGTCCGGTCTGAGAAGGAAGGGAGGAGCCTGGGGGCGGGGCACGGGGAGAGACCCTCACCTCACGCATCCACAGTCCTGAATCAGTTCTAGACCCTCCCTTCTCTCCTCCCGGCCCAGATTCCGGCTCCCGCTTCCTGCGCCAAGCCTGTTGAAGGGCGCAAGACGCTCGATCTCCATGCTTAATGGACCAGCCCTCTCGTCGTGGCTGGAGAAGCTAGTTTGGCTTCTTGGTCTTGATCCCCGGCGCTCCCAGCCTCCACAAGCTCGACTACTTTCAGAGTTCTAGGAAGCTTGCCCCGCCCCCTGGGTTGTCACCCTCGGCTGTCTACCCAGAATGGAGTCCAGACTTGAGCCTTACTCCAAACTCTTGGGTGTGAGATTATTTCCTGGCGAAGAAGCTCCTTTCCTCCGACCCCCGCCCCCACACTGACTTTAGGAAGATACAGGGGAAGGGTCATCTGTCAAGCTTAGTGTTGTGACCTGTGCAAGGTTTAGGATTTGGAAGAACAGTTCCTGGGATGGCTGTAAGATTAAAGAATTCTAGTCCAGAAGCAGTTCGGCTTTTCAAGATGACCCTCTCTAGCAAATGGGAGAGGCCCATTGTTCTACTGCAGCAGCTGTGAACTCTCCTGCTTCCTGTGCCCCATCTGTCTATAGAGTAGCTGGAATGATCGGGCTGTTTAGATGTGATTAGATAGTGTTGTTCTTGGAAGGACCCGGGAAAGGCCCTCTAATTCATTCCTCTGTTGCTGGTCAAGATTGTGATAACTTCAGTGGTGGCCTAGATTCATGACAGGCATATAAGGAAAGCAGAAACAGAATAGTTGGAGAAGTTCATGGGATTTGGAATACTCCTAGTTCCTCTGCTTGAAGGTTAGATGAATGATCTTTTTACATGAAATCTAACTTTGTCAATGATCCTTGGGCTGTTTTCCTAGGTTATTGTGAGAAGTTTTTGGGCCTGGCCTGCACTTGATAAAGTCTGGTACCTTGCTGGAGTTTTTGGGTGTCCTTTACATTTAATGATTTTAATGCTTCAGTTCTCAAATCCATACATTCTTTTGGTGGGAAGACTGGGAATGGAGTAACATTTGAATTATTGCAGTTCAGCCAAAGAATTTCATTTCTCTAATCGGTTACTCTAAAATTTGTCTTTTGACAAGGAAGGAATTTAGCTGATCTGTTTTATATGTGTAGCCTGAGTGATTAAAAATGACTAGCACATTAGAGAGTATTCAGTGTTTGTTGAATGAATCCATGCTAGAGTGAATGAATGGGAAGTGAAACATTGTTTCATTTACTTATAATATCACAGTAGTTCATCAGTGGCAGGACTCCTTGTGTGAGTAGACACTAGAAATCATTACCCCTGGGGAATGGAGGCTGTTTCCCCATTCCATTGGGCCTGTCTAAAGTTGAAATTTATACCCTCTTGGCAGTGACAAAACATGGGGTTCACAGTAACAAATTTTTACTTTGAAGAGGTAATCTGGCTACTGTCTGGGGCAGAAACTGCCTGATAAGGTCAGTTCTTTTTTATGTCTATTTCCTACCCTGTATAGTTAGTTAGTCTTTAGAAAGTTGATTTTGATTAATTTCTCTCTTCTCTTTCATCTTTTAGGTGAGACCAAGTTGGGGATGCACTCATAATGAACGTCAACCAGTCAGCTCCACCTGTGCTGCCATTTGGGCAGCCCCAGCCTGTCTACACAGGGTATCATCAATCCAGCTATGGTGGGCAACCAGGGTCCACAGCCCCACCAACTCCCTATGGCGCCTACAATGGCCCAGTACCAGGCTATCAGCAAACACCTCTCCCAGGTGTGTTTCCAAGTTTCCTTTGAGCTAAGGAGAGGAATCAGTAGTGTTCAGGTTGGGTGGTATTGCCCTACCTAAGCTGCCTAGAGAGTTGGAGTGGCTGGGATTGAGGAACATGACTCTGGCTCTCAGTCACTGAGAACTTTGTGGGCAGTCTGCTCTTCCCTGTTTTTACATAAGTTCTGCCTTAAGACATCTAGTGGAAGCACATCTTCCAGTTTCAGTGGCAGTTCATTTCTTGTGAATGTCACCCTATACAGCCTCAACTGCCTGCTTTGTTCACAGCTGGATGGAAAGGTTGTGGTCAAAGCTCCTCCAGAGCCTGTGACCAGGATTAAATATTTCCTATTGACCTAAAGTCTCCCTGAAATCACTTGTTCCTCATATATATTGATAATGCCTCTCATTGGATTAATGGTTCTATCTATAAATGACCCTGTGACAGGGAAACTAATTCATGGGTAAAAAGTGTGGTGTTTGTGTGCTTCTCCATTCTTTCTGCTCATATCATTCTTTGCCTTTGCTTGAGTTTCATCTGCTTCTTAGATGCTCTGTAGTATCAGGGCAATAAGAGAAGACTAATCTGGTGCTGCCTTAGGATCAGTGTTTGGCTTTTACATTACTTTTTCAAGAAGAGCAGCTGGTACTCTACAGCTTCTCTGTATGGCTTTTTGGAAAATGGCTAACAGTAGATCTTTGGTTAGGCTAGCTGAAGACTTAGGGTACGCCAAACATTTAATGCTTTTTAGGATAGTAAATTCTATACAGGGATATGGGGAAAACGGCACCAAGGAGGCATAAGTAAGATTTGGGAAATGAATGAAGTATTACCATTTTAATTATAATTTTGAGAAAAAAATTTGTAAAGTGGTGAGATTAGGTCTCAGGTCTTTGGAAGAGCCTTATTCTGGATTTGGACTTTGGCTGGACAGAGTCCACCTCTGATCTCTCAAGTCCTGGCTTATCAGGACGGAGTTTGGCATTGCCCCAAGAGGAAGCTTTGTTATTGAATGGAAAACGTATCTGGTTCTGTGATAGCTAGTGAGTAGGTTCAGATTAATTAACCTGTAGGCAGGTTCTAAATTGTCTGATCTCTACTGAGGAACAGAGCAAAAGAAAAACAACTGTTTGAACAGGGGTCAGCAACATTTCCAAAGTGATGTGCCAACTTACTAATTCCCTGCATTTCATGTGGAAAGGATGGTTGGGGATGGTATGCAGAAAGGACGGTTGGGGAGTTAGTAGAAATAGCTTTGATGCATCTCTGATGGGCAAAACGATGGAGTACAGTTTTTGTGAAGATAAAGGTGGCAGCACTAATGGGAGGGCAAATCAGTTGTCTTGACTGAACCACTGGGCAGAATCTCCAAACTGTGAGAACACTTTCCTGAGCCATGTGATATTGGGAGCATCAACACTTAGAAGTGGATAAAAAGAAGATGGTTAAGATAATTAGAATATATGAAAAAGAGGCTGACAGAATGGTCTCCCCAGGAGGAGCCTTTCTTTATAATCTAGTTTGTTATATTACTTGATCATCTTCTGCATCAACTTTCTCATATGCTCTAAGTTTCTGAGTTCTGGAGTTGGATCTTTTCCTTAAAAGAGTTGGCTTTTTGGGGTGCCTAGCTGGCTAAGTTGGTGGAGCATGTGACTCTTGATCTTGGGGTTGTGAGTTTGAACCCCATGTTGGGTGTAGAGATTACTTAAAAATAAAATATTTTTTTTTTTTAAGAGTTGACTTTTTGTCTAGGATAAGAACATTAGACTGACCTGGATTGAGTGGGAGTGTATGTTGATCACAGGAAGCCTCTACATTCTTGTAGCTCTGGTTACAGCTTCATCTGTAGTATATCTGTCTAGGAGAGTGGAGACACTCTGACTGGTCATCCATGTTCAGAATCTGTAACTAGAGTTGCATGTTCCTGGTATCCTTTTGATTGCAAAGCTGTAATATTGGGCCAGCGAAGGTCTGAGCTTATTTATCCTTGCTTTACATTCCTTGCTCAGGGTGGAGAAGAACGTTATTTCTCAATCATTTAGTTTCTGTCCTTTACCCTCAGGTGTGTCGAGAGCCCCACCTTCTTCAGAGGCACCTCCAGCCTCAACAGCACAGGCCCCTTGTGGCCAGGTTGCATATGGCCAGTTTGGCCAAGCAGATGTACAGAATGGGCCAAGCTCCACTGTTCAGATGCAGAGGTATGTACTTGGGTCAACCTAAAATTGGTCTGATGAAGCTAGAAGAATCAGGAATGGATGAGGGCCTGTTTCCTCTTCTTTTTTCTTTGCCTTTCCCTTAGATCCTCTTTTCTCTTTCCTCCACTTTTTTAATTTTGTTTGCATTTTTCCAGGTTACAGGTGCTGCTGTTGTCCACTCTGTAGATCATTAACCCATTAAGTTCTTTTGTGTATTCTTTCTTTTTCTGTAAACTTGAGTTTTTTCTTGACTAGACATATATCTTCAATAATAGTTGCAATCCTACCGAATCTATCCTCAGGGGGAAACAGGAAAAAGGGATCTCAGATTTATGTCTCTTCTGACTTCTTCCTTTCCTCTCAATCAGCGGTTAGTAGGACTTCTTGGTTAAGTTTGGGTGTGACCAGTTCTGAAAGGAAAGATACTCAAAGAAAAACCACATAAATGATAAAAACTTTTGTGGTTCATGATCCAATAAACACCTGTCTTTGTATGGAAGTCCATTAAAGGAAGTCAGTCATCTCTGTTGGACGGTTGTTTATTTCTTGGTAAACAAAGAATAAAGTATAACTGTGAGTAGGTTGTGTGGTAATGGCATTTTTATTAAGTGTCCAGAATATACATATTTAGCATAGAACAATAGCCTGCAGAAAGAGCCTGGGAAGTGCTCCCTAACTTTGTATGTTGGTATAGGGAATTCATTCATTCATTCATCCACTCAAAAATATTTATTTTGTATTATTGTGTGTTGGCTCTTGTTCTAGCGGTTGGAGATAAAAGCAGTAAACAAAACAGACCAGATCTCTGCCCTGATGGAACTTATAATCTAGTGGAGTACACAGACCATAACAAGTAGACAAATAGAAATAAGAAATAAAACAGAGTAAGGATACACAGAATGCCTGGTGAGGAGGTAGGGAGCTGTTTTAAATGCATTGCTCAAGGAAAGCCTCTCTGAAGTGATATTTGAAACCTCAGTGAAATGATGAAGGGAGCTATCTGAAGAAGGGAGAAGAGTGTCTTGGGTAGAGGGAACAACAAGTGTAAAGGCCCTGATGGAGAAATTAATATGGCAGATGTGAGGAAGAGCAAGAAGGCCAGTGTGGCTAGAGCAGACTGGAGAGTGGAGGAGATAAGATAGGAATATAGGCAAGAGCCATATCACGTAGTGCTTTGTAAGCCATAGTAAGAAGTGTAAATTTGGGTGCCTGGGTGGCTCAGTTGGTTAAGCGACTGCCTTTGGCTCAGGTCATGATTCTGGAGTCTGGGATTGAGTTCCGCGTCAGACTCCCTACTCAGTGGGGAGTCGGCTTCTTCCTCTGACCCTCCCCCCTCTCCTGCTTTCCTCTCTCATTCTCTCTCTCTCAAGTAAATAAATAAAATCTTGAAAAAAAGAAGATTTAAGAAGTGTAAATTTGATTTTAGTTGCAGTGAGAAGCCTTTGGATTTATGTGTTCGTTCATTTATGCAATGATTCTTTTCATTGTAATATAAAACACACACAAAAACCATACAGAACAAATGTATGGCTTCATAAATTATCATAAAGGGAACCCCCTTGTAACTACAACCCAGATGAAGAAATAGAACTCTGCCATGCACCCCAAAAGAGGCCCCTTCTGCATGCCTCAATTCAGTCATAACTCTCTCCTTATCCCCTTAAGTAATGATTATCCTAACTTATAGTAACCACTTTCTTGTGTTTTTAAAAACAGTTTACACCCAGGGCGCCTGGGTGGCCCAGTTGGTTAAGCAACTGCCTTCGGCTCAGGTCATGATCCTGGAGTCCCAGGATCGAGTCCCAGGATCGAGTCCCGCATTGGGCTCCCTGTTCCGTGGGGAGTCTACTTCTCCCTCTGACCCTCCCCCCTCTCATGCTCTTTCTCTCTCTCATTCTCTCTCTCAAATAAATAATAAAATCTTTAAAAGAAAAAAATATAGTTTACACCCAAATGTACATCCCTAGACACCACAGTTTAATTTTGCCTATTTAAAAAATAACAACAACAAGAACAACTTGACATGTCTTTTAAGTCTATAGGTTCCCTCTCTCTTTTTTTTTTTCTGTTTATCTGTTGAAGAATTGAAGCCGATTGACCTGAAGAGTTCCCCACAGTCTGGAATCTCCTGGTTGCAAATTCATGTTACAGTTCAACATGTTCCTCTTTTCTCTGTATTCTCTGCCACTTGGCAGCCGGATCCAGAGACTTGTTATCTTAATATCTTGTGGGGTGTGTGTGTGTGTGTGTGTGTGTGTGTGTGTGTGTGGTAGTAGTTTTGTGTTAGCAGTTGTTGGTGCTTACTAATACATATATATATATGAATTCCTTGGGTTTACAAAATGGGGGATACTTTTTAATTCTTTTTTCATTTATTTATTTGTTTGAATACCATTATTGACATTTCTCCTCATGTGTTATTTGGTTACCAATTGTGCAATTCGTTTACCTTTGTTTACCAGATTATAAGGGAATGAATTGGTCCTCTCTTATCTACTGAAGATGACCAGTTCTCCCTTTTTTTTGTTAAAGATTTATTTATCTATTTGAGAGTGTGTGGGTGAGTGAGGGGGAGGGGCAGAGGTAGAGAATCCTCAAGCAGACCCCCTGCTGAGCACAGAGCCTGACACCTGGAAATCATGACCTGAGCCGAAACCAAGAGCCAGATACTCACCTGACTAAGCCACCCAGGCACCCCTGGCTCTTTTTTTCTTGAGGCCATGGGGATGATAGAATACTGAAATATGCCATAATTTCTCATTTATTTTATCTCTTATATACAACAGTGTCAGTATAATAGTACTAACACTATCACAAATGTGATTACTAAAAACAGTATCTTTTTAAAGATTTGCATATACTGCCTCATTCTCTAATAGTTTTTAAAAAATATTTATTTTTTAAACAGAGGTGAGTGATGGATTTAAGAGTGGAAGTAGGGAATCCTATTAGGAGGTTGTTGTAGTAGTTCAGGTTTAGGATGGTAGTGGTAGAGGTGCTGAGAAAGAAATTTTGGATAGGTAGAGTCGATAGGATTGGATGTGAGATAAGAGAGGAAGAATAAGTCTGGATATCTTTTAACCTGCTGGCTTAAGCCAACTGGATAAATTGTAGTGCTGTTTACTGAGGTGAGGTATATTTGAGGAGCAGATTTTGGGGTGAATTGGAGGGTTTTATTTTGTACATTAGAAGTTTAAGAAGCTACTAGCTACCAAGTAGAGATATTGAATAGGTAGTTGTATATACAAATCTGCAGGTGAGGAATGATGCCAGGACTAGAGATAAAAATTTGGGAGTCTTCAGCATAGAGATGTTATTTAATGGCATAGGACTGATTAGATGAAATCATTTAGAAAGTGATCACTGGGGGCGCCTGGGTGGCCCAGTTGTTGGGCGTCTGCCTTCTGCTTGGGTCACGATCCCAGGGTCCTGGGATCGAGCCTCGCATTGGGCTCCCTGCTCAGTGGGAAGCCTGCTTCTCCCTCTCCTGCTCCCCTTGCTTATGTTCCCTCTCTCTTTCTGTCAAACAAATAAATAAAATATT